GGGAAAAGGCTCTTGGGTGGGGATGGGGATCCTGATTATTTTGGAGGTAGCTGGGAAACCACAGAACCTGGGAGAAAAGAGGACTGGAGATAGAGAGAGAGATCTGAACTACTTGGCTACGGTGGTCCATGCTCTTGTAACATCGAGAACGGATTTCTGCAATGCGCTCTACGTGGGGCTGCCTTTGAAGACTGTTCAGAAGCTTCAAATGGTCCAACGGGCGGCAGCCAGATTGCTCACCAGAGCAGAGTACAGGGGGCACGCAACCTCCCTGTTACATCAGCTCCACTGGCTGCCAATCTGCTACCTAGCACAATTCAAAGTGCTGGTTTAGCCTATAAAGCCCTAAACGGTGCCAGCCCAGCTTACCTGTCTGAACTTATCTCTCTCTATGAACCATCACAGACGCTAAGATGTTCTGAGGAGGCTCTGCTTTTGGTCCCGCCTCCATCGCAAGCGCAACTGGCAGGGACAAGAGACAGGGCCTTCTCAGTGGTGGCCCCTCAGCTCTGGAATTCCCTTTTGAAAGAAAGGGAAAAGGTGGCTTTGGGATCAAGCCTTCAAAGAATAATTGTAGTGCAATAGAGGGACATGGAATTAAATGCAATGACTACTGATTGTAGATAGCATAGTTAAGAGTGATTATGATGTTTTAATGTGTTTTAAATTCTATTTTTAAATGTTTATTTTAATTGCATATTATTTTAAGGCATAGAATAGCAGCCAGCTTGAGTCCCCTTTGCGATTGAGAAAGACGGGGTATAAATATGGCAAGTAAATAAATACAATACAGTCTTGCTTATCCAACCTTCGCTCATCCAACATTCTGTATTATCCAACACAGTCCGGAATAATGTCCAGGGTGGGAGAAAGAAAGAACCCTTGTCTCTTTTGGTGCTAAATTCGTAAATACAGTAATAACGTTGCTGTGTATTGAACTGCTTTTTCTGTAGATTTGTTGTAAAGCATGATGTTTTCGTACTTAATTTGTAAAATCATAACGTAATTTGACGTTTAATAGGCTTTTCATTAACCCCTCCTTATTATCCAACATTTTCACTTATCCAACGTTCTGCCAGCCGGTTTATGTTGGATAAGCGAAACTCTACTGTAAATAGAGAGAGAGATCTATCTGTGAATTCTCAATTAAAGGGATTTGCACCAGTAAATCTGCTCTGCTTGGGACTCCAAAATAAAAGGATGCAGGCCAGAATGGCCACCTTCATGGCATGCCAAGTTCATCCTTTCCCTTCTTCTGAGTGGTCTCTCCTTCTCTCTCTCTCTTTCTCAACACCAAGAAATGAAAGGAAGCTTGGGTTGTTGTGAGTTTTCCAGGCTGTATGGCCATGTTCCAGAGGCATTCTCTCCTGACGTTTCACCTGCATCTATGGCAGGCATCCTCAGAGGTTGTGAGGATGCCTGCCATAGATGCAAACCTCCCTTGCCTAAGTTCCAACAGACCTCACAACCTCTGAGGACACCTACCATAGATGTGGGTGAAATATCAGGAGAGAATGCTTCTGGAACATGGCCATACAGCCCGGAAAAATCACAACAACCCAATGATTCTGGCCTGAAAGCCTTTGACAAAGGAAGCCTGTTCGACCTGCTGCCACCCTTGAAATGCCAGAACCAATCCACCCCATAAGCGACCTGCAGGGTTCAACAGAAAGGATGTAAAGAGGGGTATGCAACCTAAAGCTCTGGGGAGAGGGTAGAAATACATCCTAGGTGTCTGACAAAAGGGGAATCCCAGCCTTCTTGCTTCCCTATCTGCTTCCCTATTCCGCTCTATCCTGGGTGCTGGTTCTTTGTGCTCCACCTGGTCTGGCTCCCCATCGCCTTCCCAACTCCTCTCCCGCTGCAATGTATTTATATTTATTTTGGCTCAATCCCTGTTATTACGATGCAAAAAAGGAAACCATCACCTCCCCGTTCTGCAGCAAAGGGCCCTCTGGGTTGCTGCAAGCTTTTCAGGCTGTATGGCCATCTTCCAGAAGCATTCTCTCCTGGAGTTTCGCCTATATCTATGGCAGGCATCCTTAGGGTTTGTGTGATCTGTTTGAGAACTAGGAAAATGGGGTTTATATATCTGTGAGATGTCTAGCGTGGGAGAAAGATCTCTTCTCTGTTGGAGGCATGTGTGAATGTTGTAGTTGGCCACCTTAATTAGCATTTAATGGCCTTGTAGCTTCAAAGCCTGGCTGAATACACAGATATATAAACATCACTTGCCTAGTTTCCAACAAACCTCATAGAATCATAGAATCAAAGAGTTGGAAGAGACCTCATGGGCCATCCAGTCCAACCCCCTGCCAAGAACCTCACAACTTGAGGATGCCTGCCACAGATGTGGGTGAAATGTTAGGAGAGAATGCTTCTGGAACATGGCCATACAACCCGGAACACTCACAGCAACCCATTGAGTAATATGATTAACTGCCCTGATTAGCGTTGAATGGCCTTGCAGCTTCAAGGCCTGGATGATTCCTGCCTGGGGAATCCTTTGTTGGGAGGTGTTAGCTGGCCTTAGACTCATAGAGTTGGAAGAGACCTCATGGGCCATCCAGTCCAACCCCCTGCCAAGAAGCAGGAATATTGCATTCAAAGCACCCCTGACAGATGGCCATCCAGCCTCTGCTTAAAAGCCTCCAAAGAAGGAGCCTCCACCACACTCGGGGGCAGAGAGTTCACAATCAGGAAGTTCTTTCTAATGTTCAGATGGAATCTCCTCTCTTGTAGTTTGAAGCCATTGTTCCGTGTCCTAGTCTCCAGGGAAGCAGAAAACAAGCTTGCTCCCTCATCTCTGTGACTTCCTCTCACATATTTATACATGGCTATCATGTCTCCTCTCAGCCTTCTCTTCTTCAGGCTAAACATGCCCAGCTCTTAAGCCGCTCCTCATAGGGCTTGTTCTCCAGACCCTTGATCATTTTAGTCGCCCTCCTCTGGACACATTCCAGCTTGTCAATATCTCTCTTCAATTGTGGTGCCCAGAATTGGACACAATATTCCAGATGTGGCCTAACCAAGGCAGAATAGAGGGGTAGCATGACTTTCCTGGATCTAGACACTAGACGCCTATTGATGCAGGCCAAAATCCCATTGGCTTTTTTTGCCATCACATCACATTATTGGCTCATGTTTAACTTGTTGTCCATGAGGACTCCAAGATCTTTTTCACACATACTGCCCTCGAGCCACGTTTCCCCATTCTGTATCTTTGCATGCTTCCGGAACATGCAAAGTATTTTAAAAATATTAGTCTACTACATCCAGCCCTGCCCACGGTGTTTTAAATCTCTTATGCGTTACTGTTTATATGTTACTTATATATTTGTATTGTGTTTTACTTGCTTGCTTGCTTTGTTGTTTTTACTGATGTATTTTGTTGGGTTGTTGTAGGTTTTTCCGGGCTATATGGCCATGTTCTAGAGCATTTTCTCCTGACGTTTCGCCTGCATCTATGGCAAGCATCCTCAGAGGTAGTGAGGTGAGGATGCTTGCCATAGATGCAGGCGAAACGTCAGGAGAAAAATTGCCTCCAGAACATGGCCATATAGCCCGGAAAAACCTACAACAACCTAGTGATTCCGGCCATGAAAGCCTTTGACAATATTTTGTTGGGCTTGGCCTCGTGTAAGCCACCCTGAGTCCCCTTGAGGAGATAATACAAAATAAAAAATAAAAAATAAAAAAGGAAAGGTAGTCCCCTGACATTAAGTCCAGTCATGTCTGACTCTGGGGTGTGGTGCTCATCTCCATTTCTAAGCCGAAGAGCCAGCGTTGTCCGTAGACACCTCCAAGGTCATGTGGCCGGCATGACTGCATGGAGCGCCGTTACCTTCCCGCCGGAGCAGTACCTATTGATCTACTCACATCTGCATGTTTTCGAACTGCTAGGTTGGCAGAAGCTAGGGCTGACAGCGGAAGCTCACGCCGCTCCCCGGAATCGAACCTGCGACCTTTCGATCAACAAGCTCAGCAGCTCAGTGCTTTAACCCACTGCGCCACCGGGGGGCCCTACATGGCCCTACATGGCCATACAACCCTTAAAATCACAGTAACCCATTGAGTAATATGATTAATTGCCCGTTTTTTTGTCGTGTCAGGAGCGACTTGAGAAACTGCAAGTCGCTTCTGGTGTGAGAGAATTGGCCATCTGCAAGGACGTTGCCCAGGGGACGCCCGGATGATTTGATGTTTTTATCATCCTTGTGGGAGGCTTCTCTCATGTCCCCGCATGAGGAGCTGGAGCTGATAGAGGGAGCTCATCCGCCTCTCCCCGAATTCGAACCTGCAACCTGTCGGTCTTCAGTCCTGCCGGCACAGGGGTTTAACCCACTGCGGGCTCCTGGTGATTACCCTGATTAGCACTGAATGGCCTTGCAGCTTTAAGGCCTGGATGATTCCTGCCTGGGGGAATCCTTTGTTGGGAGGTGTTCGCTGGCCTTCATAGCAAGCCAAGCTCATCTTTCTCCTTCTTCCCTGTATTATTCCTCTCTAAATACCAAGAAAGGTCTTCAGTCCTGCCAGCACAGGGGTTTAACCCACTGTACCACTGGGGGGCTCCTGGTGATTGCCCTGATTAGCATTGAATGGCCTTGCAGCTTTAAGGCCTGGATGATTCCTGCTGGGGGAATCCTTTGTTGGGAGGCGTTTGCTGGCCTTCGTAGCATGCCAAGCTCATCTTTCCCCTTCTTCCTTGTATTATTCCTCTCTAAATACCATGGAATGAAAAGAAGCTTTCTCTAGCTCTGCAATCCAGACCTCTGGTCCTCCTTGTATCCCCAAAAGGGAAGCCTCCTCCAGGTGTGGTGGCTGGGCCTAGAGGGAAAGAAAGGCCGCAGGCTGAAGCCGGGGAGGATGAGCTGGTGCCCGGCTGTAGGGGGGGGGGGGGGAGAGAGAGAGATCAGGAAGCCCCCCCCCCCCCCAATCTCTTTCTCTTGGCTGCTGGATGAAGGCGAGGCGATGCCCTCCCTTACCTGTCCCAGGCTTACCTTCCCTGCAGAGGCGGCGGCGGCGGGGGCTTCTCTCCCTCCTTGCTCCTCGCCCTCCAGCGCTGCGCCAAAGCCCCTCCGGGCCCCCAAAGCAACACCCAAAGGCAGGATCAACCCTTCGCTGCTAAGCCATGGCTCTCCTTCCTCTCCTTCCTTCCTTCTCTCCTTTCTTTTTGGCCGCTCGGGAAGAAAGGAAGGCAAGAAGAAAGACCTGCCCCGCTCTCTCCTCCTCCTCCTCCTCCTCCTCCTCCTCCTCCGCCTGCCTTCCTCGCCCAGCCGGTTCCAGACGTCAAGAGCGAAGAGGCGGCTCTTGCTCTCGGGATCCTTTCTCCTTCCTTCCTTTCTCCCTCTCCTTTCTTCCCTCTGAGGCTCTTCCCGAAGCCTGACTCAGGTTAAGGCAGGTGACGCCGACGCCGCTGGGTTAGTTAATCATTGCCAAGGCGCGGGTGGCTGGCTGGCTGGGTTGGTTGGTTGGTTGGTTGGGCGACCGCAGAGGCAAAGTGGCGAGGGCGGGGCCCACGTCCACAAGGCCCTGCCCACTTTCCTCCTCCACTCAACCCCCCTCCCCTCCTCCTCCTCCTCCCATAGGCGGGGCCGGAGAGGGAAAGACTGAATGGAAGAATCCCGGTGTATTGGTTGCCAAGCTCTCACCCTCCAGATGTTTGGGACTTCAACTCCCAGAAGCCTCAGCTGCCTTGGTTAATAGTCAAAAATGCTGGGAGCTGGAGCCTGAAATACCTGGAAGACCAGAGTTTGGGAAATAATGATTTAGTGTGGATCTGCATTGTCGAAGGCTTTTATGGCTGGAACAAACAAGGACATCTAATCACCTCTCAACAAAAGTTTGCTCCAGGCACTGCCAACAAATCAAATGCTAATCAAGGTGATCAGTTTATTTATCGAGTCATCATCAACCAGTCAATTATATTACATTTCTAATAGAACAAAGCAAACAAACAGACAAAATACAAAATATAGAATACAAAAATTGTGAGTTTGGTAGTTGGTTAAATGTCCTTTGACCAGTATCTGGCCACTTGGAGTGCTTCTGGTGTTGCTGCAAGAAGGTCCTCCATGGTGCATGTGGCAGGGCTCAGGGTGCATTGCAGCAGGTGGTCTGTGGTTTGCTCTTCTCCACACTCGCATGTCGTGGATTCCACTTTGTGGCCCCATTTCTGAAGGTTGGCTCTGCATCTCGTGGTGCCAGAGCGCAGTCTGTTCAGTGCCTTCCAAGTCGCCCAGTCCTCTGTGTGCCCAGGGGGGAGTCTCTCATTTGGTATCAGCCATTGGTTGAGGTTCTGGGTTTGAGCCTGCCACTTTTGGACTCTCGCTTGCTGAGGTGTTCCAGTGAGTGTCTCTGTAGATATTAGAAAACTATTTCTAGATTTAAGTCGTTGACGTGCTGGCTGATACCCAAACAGGGATGAGCTGGAGATGTCTCTGCCTTGGTCCTTTCACTATTGGCTGCTACTTCCCGGCGGATGTCAGGTGGTGCAATACCGGCTAAGCAGTGTAATTTCTCCAGTGGTGTGGGCGCAGACACCCCGTGATAATGCGGCATGTCTCATAAAGAGCCACATCCACTGTTTTAGTGTGGTGAGATGTGTTCCACACTGGGCATGCGTACTCAGCAGCAGAGTAGCACAGCGCAAGGGGAGATGTCTTCACTGTATCTGGTTGTGATCCCCAGGTTGTGCCAGTCAGCTTTCGTATGATATTGTTTCTGGCACCCACTTTTTGCTTGATGTTCAGGCAGTGCTTCTTGTAGGTAAGAGCACGGTCCAGAGTGACTCCCAGGTATTTGGGTGCGCTGCAATGCTCCAGTGGGATTCCTTCCCAGGTAATCCTCAGAGCTCGGGATGCTTGTCTGTTCTTGAGATGAAAAGCACATGTCTGTGTTTTAGATGGATTGGGGATCAGCTGGTTATCAGCTGATCAGTTGAAACATTCACACCTAGCTCCAGCAGACAAGAGTCCTTTGTTTCACCCTGGTCATTCCACAGATATATAAACCCTTTTTCCTAGTTCCAACAGACCTCACTACCTCTGAGGATGCTTGCCATAGATGCAGGCGAAACGTCAGGAGAGAATGCCTCTAGACCATGGCCATATAGCCATGCCAAAAAACCTACAACAACTTTTTGGATCCTTCTGATTTTCTTACAAGCATTTATTTCTTCTGGCTATTTACTACAACTCACACCATTCCTAACAGCCTACCGAAGACAGAAGGGTTTGGAGACAGCCGGTAGGGCCCAGGTTTGCCCAGGCCTGCTTTAAATGGTTTTTATTTATCGTGTTCATCATACTACAGCAGGCCTGTAGTATTTTTTCTATTTTTGTATTTTTTTTCCCCCTCTGGCTCTGTTTTCTTTTCAGTATGTGTATTGTGCTGTATTGTGGTTTTATGTTACTTTTGGTAAAACGAATAAAATTACTTTTAAAAAAGGAATTGTGGGGAGCTGGAGTCCAAAACACCTGGAGGGCCCAAGTTTGCCCAGGCCTGCTCCAAGGGAAGGCAGGCAAACAGATCCACGCTAAATCAGTATTTCCCAAACTATGGTCTTCCAAGTGCTTTAAAATGGTTTTTACTTATCGTGTTCATCACACTAGAGAAGACATAGGCAAACTTGGGCCCTCCGGGTGTTTTGGACTGCAACTCCCACATTTCCTAACAGCCAGATCGGCTGTTAGGAATTGTGGGAGTTGAAATCCAAAACACCCGGAGGGCCCAAGTTTGCCCAGGCCCACTCCAAGGGAAGGCAGGCAAACACATCCACACTAAATTGGTATTTCCCAAACTCTGGCTGTTAGGAATATTGGGAGCTGGAGTCCAAAACACCTGGAGGGCCCAAGTTTGCCCAGGCCTGCACTAGAGAATGAATCCACTTTAAATCCAGTTTCTCCCTCCTGCAGAATTCTGGGTTTGTAGTTTAGTGAGGTTATCAAAGGCTCACAAATGGAACACTGAAGAAGGAGACAGAAGGTCTGATTCTTGCAGCCCAGGGCAGTTTCCAATGAGTATGGCAACCATTCAATGCCAAAAAGAAAACCATACAAACTATTTACACCAAGCCAAAGCACGTTAGACAATATAGAACAACCTAACTGCAACTTGATAAACAAAATAACGAAAAAGATATCATAAAATACAAAAAAAAAACCCTGATAAAACACACTAAAAATAAATATATAAAACCGATTGCATCAGAGCTCCATCAGGCGAAGTTCAACAATATCAATGGCCAGGAATACTAAAATAGACGTGATCAACTATAAAAGGGCTGAGAGAGGGATAGTGCAAACAACATGTCATAAGGCCGGGGAAGTGGATGAAATGCAGAACAGAGTACTATCTGGCAGTCATTTTGGAAAACTTGCTGGAACATCCAGGTTTTAAGTTCCCTATGAAAGGCAGACAGTGTGGAGGCTTGCATAATCTCCCTGGGGACAGTGTTCCAAAGTTTAGGGGCCACCATCGAGAAGGCCCTCTCCCTCGTTCCCACCAAACATGCTTGTGACAGAAGTGTAAGTGTGAGGAGGGCCACCCAACAGATCTTAGAGCTAGGAAATAAGTGAGCTTACCTAGCTTTCTGTCTTACTTTCACAACAGTCCTAAAGATAGGTCAGGCAGAGAGAGGGGTGAGAGAGATGGGGGGGGGGATTGCTAAACTTCCCTCTTTATCCTTATGGTAATTTGTTGTTGTTGTTATTTATATCCCACTTCCTTCTCTTAAAATAAGACTCAAAGTGGCTAATAAAAGTGGAATTACCTGTCTTCCCACTTTATCCTCAGTAAGACCCTTTGAAACAGGTCAGGGAAGGAGGAAGACAGGAGGGACTTTCCTCCAAATGCAATAAAGGCAGCATATACCCGACTTCCCTCTTTGTCCTCATAACAATTTTGGGACTTTCCATCCAATGAAGTAACATTTCTGGCTTTCTTCTGTATGCTCACAACAACCCCGTAAGGCAGGTCAGGGAGGAAAGAAGAAAGGAGAGGTTTTCCTCCCAATGTAACAACAAGATTTACATGAGACCTGCTCTTTGTGGTGATTTTCCTTTGCAACTGGGGGGAGCAGGAAGATCTGATAATGGAGGCTGTCATGAGGAACACCTGGAAACAGAATGTGTTGCCACACCATTGGGGACTCCAAAGTGACTGGTCAGTATTAGCCAGTCTTCTTAGTGAGCAACCAGAAATGGTTATCAGATAGTGGTGAGGAAGAAATCCAAGCAGGTCAAATTTTTGTCAAATATGCCTCCACCACCGCTATTGTTCACATCATCAAATATATAACTTACCCACAGAATCATAAAGTTAGAAGAGACTACAAGGTCCATCCAATTCAATCCCATTCTGCCATACAGGAACACACAATCAAAACACTCCTGACAGATGGCCATCTAGCTTATGCTTCACAACCTCCAAATAAGGGAAGACTCCACCACACTCCAAAGCAGAATATCTACTGTCAAACAGGTCTTGCCATCAGAAAGTTCCTCTTAAGGTTTAGGTGGAATACTTGTGTGACTATGCTTTGTAACATTTCCTCATGGCTCAGTGCAAACATGTGCAACTGTTCTATGTCATAGCTTTGGCATTGGAACTTCGGAAAAGCTCCCTTTTGGGACTGCAATACCCAGAACCGCTCAGCCAGTAGCCCTGCTGGTTGGAGGATACTAGAATATGTCATTTCAAAACAGATGGAAGATGACAAATTGCCTAAGGCCTCAAACAACTTTGAGTCTCCTTTGGGAGAGAAAGGGCAGGGTATAAATATAAATATAAATATAAATATAAATATAAGTCTCTAAATAAAAAAATATCAAAAATATTATTAAAAATAAAGATATTATAAAATACAAAAACCCTGATAAACACACTAAAAATAAAAATATAAAACCAATTGCATCGGAGCTCAACAATACCAATGGCCCTGCACAATACCAATGGCCAGGAGTACTAAAATAGATGTGATCAACTATAAAAGCTGGGTTGTTGTAGGTTTTTCCGGGCTATATGGCCATGTTCTAGAGGCATTTTCTCCTGACGTTTCACCTGCATCTATGGCAAGCATCCTCAGAGATCGTGAGGTCTGTTGGAAGTAGGAAAATGGGTTTATATATCTGTGGAAACCTTAAAAAAAACAGAGAGTAAACAATCAGGCACATCAAATCACTCTCAACAAGAGATTCCCCCCAGGCACTTCCAAGTCATTAAATGCTAATCAAGGAAACATTCACACCTAGCTCCAGCAGACAAGAGTCCTTTGTCCCACCCTAGTCATTCCACAGATATATAAACCCATTTTCCTACTTCCAACAGACCTCACTACCTCTGAGGATGCTTGCCATAGATGCAGGAGAAACGTCAGGAGAAAATGCCTCTAGAACATGGCCATATAGACTGGAAAAACCTACAACAACCCAGTGATTCCGGCCATGAAAGCCTTCGCCAATACATTGAACTATAAAAGCGCTGGGAGAGGGGTAGTGCAAACAACATGTCACAGGGAAGTGGATA